ATGTTACCAAACCACACGGCAGGCCATTAATTCAAGTCCGTTGTAAGTCCCAAGGTCGGCAGAGCATGGCAGGCTGCTGAACGACATGGCTATACGCAAGCTTGAAGCGTGCCATAAGCTGGAGACCATTCCCAAAGCTATTTCTGATATACAGGAAGCAGACCACATACCCAAAGACAGCTACTCAGCTGCTCACAGTGGATTCCACCATGGAGTTGATTGCCATTCTCATCATGGGGAATACTACATCCAGCTGCCCAACCACTCAACCAGGTCCAGCCAAGTGGACACACAAACACACCTTGTTAAAGCCAAAAAAAAAAGAAATAATTTCAAAATATCACAAAACAGTAAAACCTATATATTAGCTAGGAAGAAGGCTAATATGGGCCATCTGTGCACGCCAGGTGAAAACCTGAGGTCAGTGCTTATCCATCTGACAAGCTGTGAGGTCAAATGCCACATACTTGCTTTGGAGAAGCATATTATTATGCCAAATCATTTCCAGTTGTCAGTCTGGGATAATAAATCACATACATTTTTAGGAACTAGATCAAGATAGCAACTAAAAAATGAGATCCACAGTGTTACAGAGAGATAATTAAGGTGAGAAATGATTCATAAGATTGTTTGGATTATTTCTGCTTAGAACCCTCCAATTAGGGCATATTTGGAATCACTCTGAACAAAGAATAGGTGGTAAGCCAGAAACAGCAAGAACAAAGAGTCGACCTAAATTAACATCGCTGAGTGAATGTGGCCCAGGAAAAGGGCTTATTTTATAGGCACAGCAATTAGGGCAACAATAGGGCTGACTCCAGACCAACTATAGGAATGGCAGGGGTGTTTTGTTTGGTAAGTAGACTCCCGTTATAAGAAGAGTCACCCTGTGATGTCAAAAGGCCCATGTGCTTTAGTTAACATCAGGGGTAAGGGCAACAGATAGTTAAGGAGTTTTAATCAATACCTACAAAGCCCATCCATTTTTCTGTTCTCTTCCACAGCTCATTTCCTGGGAGAAGTTCTAACGGGTACACCAACTGGGGAAATGCCAGCCACAAAGACCATAGATACAGTGCTGTTGGTTTCTTGTGGCCCAGGGGGAAAGGAAGCAGTTGGTCCACTTCCTGCCTTCAAGAGCACTCCTTCCTCCCACTCAACCCCTGTCACTGACCCTGCATTCACCAGCTATTTCCTCCTCAAAATTTATTTTTAACTTTTGTCTTTCTTCCAAGGTCACTCAGGACCCCCCTCAGAAAGGACACTCAGAAATAGCATTAACCTCCCAGTTCTGTGTGGGCCTGACCTGGACCTGGCAGGTTCCTATCAAAACTCACCAATTCATCCTCAAGTACCCAGGGTCTTCACTCCCAGATCCTTGGGGTAGGGGGTGGGGCAGAGGCTCTGTTATTGAGGGCACCTGCACTGCACAGATAGGTATGGACCCCATGGCCTCTGGGGAACTTGAATTTAGTGATGGGAACAGAGGATGTAACAGTGTCCTGCAACCCCTTGGAAGCTCCATGTAGTGCCCTCAGGTCAGACTGTATGTATCAACCCTACAGAGCTCAGCCATGCTTGCCTACACAAGGGCAGATGGAATGAGCTCTGGTGGCACAGTGACTAAGGCATTTGACTGATAACCAGAAGGTTGGTGATTCAAACCCACCAGCCGCTCCACAGAAGGAAGATGGGACAATCTACTTCTGTAAAGATTAACCGCCTTGGAAACCCAATGGGGGTCACTATGAGTTGGAATGGCAGTAGGTAGGGGACATGGAAGCAGTGTCCATTTCATCCCCAGAATGGCTGTTTGGTGCATTTGATATCTATTCCCATCTAAACTCAACTAGTGCTCCCCAGTCAAAAAGGAATAAAATTAAGGAAGCTGTGTTGCAAACATCCTCACCTTCCTGTAAAGTACAAATACTTTCTCTGGCCAAACCACTTCCCAATAAATGCATCCCAATGAAAATCTCACCCAGAAGGGCTGATTACAAGATGGACAGAGTGCAGATGGGAATGTTCAGTTGTAGGGAAATGTCTTACCCACAGTCTACAGCAATGCCAACTCAAATTCTGCTTAACACGGAAGAAGCTTCCCCTCACGTCACCCAAGGGAAGGGGACTGTAGAAGACAGCTATTTAACCCATTGTTGGAAGTAAACGCCTTCTTTGGGTGGGGTTCTTTGGATCTAGGTTCATAGACATGTCACTCTAGCCTATCGGGAAGGAGTCAAGGAATATTTAGAAAGAGACTGCAAGTGGGAAATGTTTAACAGATGTTGCACAATACTGTGCACACAAGTAATAGTTCTAAATAGAACCTATGATACAAAACTCAGTGTTTCAAAATAAATACAAGATATCATTCCCTTATTAAAATATTCCACCATAGGTTTTCTTTTTAAACACTCAAATTCTTTAGCACATTTTAAATAAGGTTATACTGTTTCGAATTTTGATTTGCCAGCTATTTTTTGAAGCTTGCCTACTAAGTCCACATCAAAGTTTGCTCAAAGGAATGGATGAAGAGCCTTGGCTCCTCTGTAAGCCTCTTTTAGGCTCCACATTGAGTCACTATAGTGCTCAGGTCAAAATTCACATGCCAGATAAAGCTCTTTAAAAATCATAAGGTAGTAGCTAAACCCAGCCACTGCTGTCAAGTTGAATCCAACTCATAGCAACCCCTCCTTGGGTTTCCAAGGTAGTATCACTATGGAAGCAGATTGTCCAACCTTCCTTCTGAGGAGTGGCTGGTGGGTTTGAGCTGCCAGCCTTCTGGTTAGCAGTCAAGTGCCTTAGACACTATGCCACCAGAGCTCCTACGTGCCAAATAATTTAAATATCAAATATCAATTCTGTAGTATGTTGCCTAGGATTGGCTTCAAAATAATGGGAGGAGGGGTTAAGGGGAATACGTAAAGCAAGACTGGTCATAAGTTGATAATTGTTAATTTTGAAGATGCATAAATATAAAACCAAATCAAACCTGTTGCCATAGAGTTGATTCTGACTCATAGCGACCCCCATAGGGTTTTCAAAACTGTATCTTTAGGGAAATAGATTGCTTCGTCTTACCACCAACCTTCTGTTTAGCAGCCAAATGCTTTACCCACTGTGCCACCAGAACTCCTTTCTGTATACATTATACCACTCTCTCTACTTCTGTGTATGTTTGAAATTCTTATGTGTGTGTATGTGTGTGTGTGTGTGTGTGTGTATATGTATGTATGTATATAAGCTCTGGTAGTGTGGTGCTTAAGGCATTTGACTGCTAACCAGAAGGCTGGCGGTTCAAACCCACCAGCCACTCCTCAGAAAGAAGGTTGGGCAATATATTTCCATAGTGATACCGCCTTGGAAACCCAAGGAGGGGTCACTATGAGTCCTTGGCAGTGAGTTTTTTAGTGATATATATATATATACACACACATATATATATCGATATAGATATATGTTGTTATTGTTGTTACGTGCCGTTGAGTCCGACCTCACTCATAGTCACCCCCCCCCTTCCAATCTACTTTCGTAGAAATACCGCCTCAGAATCCACTGGACAGCAGTGAGTTTGGTTTTTTGTCATCTAAGTGGAACCTTAAACATTTGTACTATAGCCCCTCTTCCTTTGCCATATGAGAAAAAATAAAATAAAACAGGGCAGAGAGGTTAAGTGACTTCCTTGAAGTCTCACAGCTGGCTGCAGAGCCAGAAGAAAAGTTCTGAACTCTCTGCTCTGGGTTCCTTCCAGGGGACCTCAGGCAGGAGTAAGTACCTCTGGATACTTTTTCCAGTATCTCCAAATTTTTCAAGCTCCCAGGTGTGTCTGAGAGCCCACTAGGAAAGGGAGGGCGCTGGACGGACCTGAAACTAGAACCAGCAGAGTTGGGGCCAGAAAAAGAAGGCCCTGGGCACTTTCCAAAATGAACAGGAGACAGGGGAGGAGGGGAGGTTCTTGCCTGTCCTGCCCTGTCATTGACACCTGGAGCAAGAGTACCCAGAGAAACTGACCTTGGCCTGTGAGACAAGCTTATTCTGCCCACCCCATGCCCCCCCCCCCACCTTCCAACCCACCTTTCGGCTGCTGAAAATACCAGGACTCGGAGCGACGAGATTTTTGGATTGCCGGGCGTTCAGGGACTGGGGTGGTTATTACCCACCCGAGGGCCCAGGGGGGATCCTAGAGCTGTAACTACGAAGTGTAGTCCCTCGCCAGCAAGTAGGGTCCATGTTTGCTACAGGAGCAGACACAGGGGTGGGACGAAGGAGCTGCCACTGAGTCCCCTAAACTAGGGTAAAAAGCAAAACGAAGAGTCCGAGATCCCCTGGCCTCCCGGGAGGCGTTTATGAGCCAAAGTCCTTCTGAGTTTGACCGCTTGGAAAAACCGGGGAGTTGGCGCGGATGCCAGGTACCTGGGAAGCTGAAGGCGCACGGGGGACCTGGCTGCGCTGGAGCTGTGGGTGCCCTAAACCCAAGACGATGGCCGGGACACACGAACGGAGAACAGCCCCAAGCGTGGAGCGGCCGTGACACCCCGAGTCCCCGTCATATTTGATTGCATTTGGCGAACTGACTGCACCCACTCCCACAGCCCCGGCCTATCCAGAATCCCTAGATGTCCCTTCTCTCCCTACTCGGGTCGGGACCCGCGGGTCTGAGGATTCCTCAGAATCTCACCCACTTCTTGGGGCTCCCAATGTCCTTCCTCCCCTCACCTGCGTGCGCAAATCTCCCTTAGATCCCTTTACAGCACGACTCGCCTCAGGTCTCTACTGTCTCCCACCCTAAAGGGTACAGGTGGCCCTCGCCCGAGGGTATGGACCTCTGACCCTGAACTGACACCCCACGCCCCACACCTCGGGGACTTCGAGCTCCGCAGATTCAAAGCGATGACTCCACCGCATATGGTTTGCCCTCGCCGTTCCAGGGCTGGGCACACACACACCAGCCTAGCGCCCCCGAATCCCTGCCCTAGACCCTCGGCACCGGGAAGGCTCACCATCGCGGCAGTTCTCCTCTCCCGCTCGCCTCCCAACTGGGCCTGCCCACCCCAACTGCTCCAGATACTGCCGCCTCCGCTGTTGTGACACACTGGGCGGGAGGGGGCAGAGGAGAGACATGCCCAGCCAGCAGCTGCCCGGCAGCAAGCATCACAGTACCCGGGGAGGGGAGGGACCGGTGTAGGTCACAATTGCTCCTCCCTGCCCACGGGTCCTCCAGGCGCCCACGTGCTCCCTCCCAGTGGCTCAGCCTCCGGATCCTAGGTGCCTCCCGCGCGGGGGGCGGTGACGGGTTTGGCGCTGTGGGGTTCCCAGCAGCCCCGCCTCGCTGCAGACCTGTTGTTTATTACGAAAGCACACGTGGACATATTCTCAACAGGCACTCCCTGAGATCTGATCGTTATAATTCAGCCGCTTAGGAAAAGAAATGTAAAGTGTTGGTCTGGGGATGTAGTGGTTAAGGTATTTGGCTGCTGCTAAGTAAAATGTCGGTGCTTCGAAACCACCAGCTGCTCCCGCGGAAGAAAGATAGGGCAGCCTGCTTCCCTTAAGATTCACGGCCTTGGAAACTCAATGAGGGTCGCTATGTGTAGATATCTACTCGATGACAGTTTAGTTTTGGTTTGGAGTCAGGCAAAATAGTCATTTCTCCCCAAACTTCCATTCTCCCCCAGCTGCCAAACTGCTCCAGAGAGTGCCTAAGTGGGGAAGAAGCCGCCCAGGCAGGGAAAGCGCTTGGTGCGGTTTAGTTGACTGGAGTCACCCTCAGCCCAGGAGAGGGCGGGCGTACTCAAGGGTCTTGCGGACTCACCAGTGGGAGAAGCAGGTTCTAATACTATCTAAATAGTTTGTTAGCCCTGTGTGCTTGGGCAAGTTGAAACTCTGCACTGGACGTCTGTTTCTTCCTCCATGGAGCCTTGCTTGATTATTCGAGAATTAAATGAGAGCGTATATAAAGCTCCTGGTACACAGCAGGTGTCCAATACACGTTGAATGCATGCTGGTTCCTGTTTCTACCACTCTCCCAGTGTACAGCTCCCCAGCCTCCTCCCATCTTTTTAAATCTCTCCCTTTGATCCTGGTCCCTGGATGGGACTACTAACCTAAGGATTGGCAGTTGAAACCTGTCTTATGATCTAGTGTTGCTATAACAGAAATACCACAAATAGATGGCTTTAACAAATAGAAATTTATTTTCTCCCAGTTTAGGAGGCTAGAAATCCAAATTCAGGGCGTCAGCTCTAGGGGAAGGCTTGTTCTCTCTGTTGGCTCTGGGGAAAGGTCCTTGTCTCCTTTCAACATCTGTGGACCCAAACATTCCTTGGCGATCTCTGTGTGTCTTGGCATTAATCTTGGTATCATTCTTCCCCTGGGTCTAAGAGGTTCTCAATGCAGGGACCCTGGGACCAAAGGATGAGCTCCACTTCCAGCTCTTCTTTCTTAGTGGTACTGAGGTCCCTCCAGCAATATGGTGTTGCTTTTGGTTTACTATTTTCCTAGGTATGGAGCAGTTCTAATGGCTTTTCCTACCATAATAGCCCTTACGTCACTTGCCAGGGACCCAGTGGAGGGGTTCTGCCAGGCACTATTCCACTTTGCATTCTGGAACAGAGGAAATTACTACAGGATGGGTTGGGGACCCAGTGGACACAATGTGAGACAAATGTGAGCTAAGACTCCATTAATAACCTGACCTCTATACATCCCTCCCACTTTGACTTGTGGGTCATAGTGACATTTTGAGTCTCCTGGGATTAGTGTCAGTTCAGAGCCAGTGTCCAGTAATCCCTGAAAAATCTGATTATTTCTTTTTAGCCAGTGAACAGTCACTCCTGTAAAAGATCATAGATCCCTTTGGGGAAGCTGGGAGAAACACTAGCAGTATAAATTGTTGGTAACATAGTGCGGTCCTTCCTCAGGCGGACGAGACCTCCCCTTCATTCAAGAGTTTGTGGCTCTGTAAACTGGCTCTAGTCTGGGAATCGATTGAGGGACTGTGAGTTTCTATTCTGGTGATTCAAGTTAGATTGCCATTCCCTTGATGTAGAATTCTTCCCCTTCTACAGATGAAGTAAATATTAAGTAGATTTCCCGTCTATTTTGCTCCTAGAGACACCATGACTAAGTAGCCAATGTCATAAATCCATACAATCCAGACTATTCTGATAACTGCTTTGACTCCACTGTCCATTATGGTAACCATATCCACCTAGTTTTGGCAATTAAGTGTTGCCACTTGGCCTCTACCACCACTGGGTCCTATCAACCCCATTGTAGTTAGGTGTCTGAATTAGGCCAATTCCCACTGTCAAATGTGACTTACATAAAATAGCAATCACAACAGTCTTCAAGGATGTTGGGGCTTCCTTCACAAATTTGTTCCTCACTGTTGTGGAAAAAGATGTGTCCTCTAGGCACTCCATGTGTGAGTCTGTGGGTCTCACGTGATAAATCCACCCTAACATGCCAATTTCGCTAAACTTTGGATATCTTCTTCTACAATATACCAAGGCAGGTCTGGTACTTCAGCTTGATTTAGTATAGGCCACCACATGATCCATGCTTCAGTAAGCCAACCAAATAAATCATTAGACCCCTTCCTAACCTCTCGCTGAAATATTGAATGAAGAATCTGTGCTTAATGGGCCCTAATCAATAAATTCAGACTGATCCAATGTTATGTACCTTGCACCATTATCCCACACATTTAATAGCCATTCCCACCCATGTACCCCAGGCTTTTTTGTGCATATTGAAAAAGTCTAGCAATTCTTTTGGAGTATAGCATACCTCCTCCTAAAAAAAAAAAAAAAAAAACCTCACTGCCATCAAGTCAGAGTCAGATGTGACTCATAGCGAACCCTCCTTGGGTTTCTGAGGAGGTATCACTACAGAAGTAGCTTGCTCAACCTTCCTTCTGAGGAGTGGCTGGTGGGTTTGAACTGCCAGCCTTCTGGGTAGCAGTCAAATGCCTTAGGCACTATACTTCCTCCTAGATCATACTTTATACTTCACCTTTTGGGCCTTACTAGTCTAGTTAAAGGTGTAGAAGCAAAAATGAGTGGTGGAGGTAGATCCTGAGAAATTCAATAGTATCATGCAAGGCATCTGCCTCAGGCAATGCCCCAGGCATCATCTCAGACAAGGACTCTTCAGGCACAGCTAGGTTAATCTCACCAAAATGAGGTGGAAGGGATAGTGGTCTTCCTGGGAGAGCAGCTTGGCAGACAAAGGCAAAGTGACCTCTTCAGATGAGAGAAGTGGTGCTACTGGCAGGAATGATTCAATGGAATTGAGGGGTCCAGTGTCCCATCTTCCTGACTATCTGCCTATATGTCCCCATCCCAAGTTTTAGGGTCCTATTTCTTTCCAATCAATGCCCTCACTTTAACTTTAGACACCATTCAAGGTTGGGAATTCAATTGGCATTGTAATTCACCCACTCTTATGATAAAACCCTGAGTTTGGTTTTCAGCAAAATCAGCTTTTTTACTACAAGAAATAAGACTTTTTTCAGGGCACAAATAGCAACTTTCAGGTCTTTTATTTGGCACTTGAGGTGTGACTCTGAAGTCCCAATCTCATCTCTTCGTTTCACCACTTTGTGTAGCAAAAGTAAGACCAACCAACCAGTTTCCTTAAACTCCTCATTCTGATAAAATTATAGAAAAGTAACCAATATGCAATCACCCAGACCCTTGTTTCACACAAATATTTGATCTATTGATGGTGATATTTTGCTTACTTCTATAGCCACCTCACACCAAGGATTAGCAGCACCTTTAAGACTAGCCAGACTTTGTGTGTGTGTGTGTGTGTGATTTGAGTGAAAATTTACAAAGCAAATTCACTTTCCATACAGCAGTTCCCACACACGTTGTCTCATGACATTGACCACAATTTACCACAGTGCAACAGCTCCCCTCCTTCTTCCTCCCAATAGTTACCTCTTCCCTGTGTCCATCCCTCCATGCACTCCTTCCCCCTGAGCTATCTCCCTGTGCATAAACAGCCCTTCTTTCTCCCATGATTGTTCTCTCCAAGGACTGTATCTACCTCAGGTAAATGTTCAACTCATATTAAGACTAGCCAGACCTGAGAACCAATTTAGAAAACTCATCCTTACAATGTTGTTTCTCCAGAACCATTCTTGATACCAGATGCCTTAGGCTGGATTCTCTTGAGAAGCAAAAACAGTGAAGCACGTGTGTGTGTGTGTGTGTGTGTGTGTGTAGAGAGAGAGATTTATCTCAAGGAAATGGTTCAGATGGTTGTAGAGTCTGGCAAGTCCCAAGTCTGTGGGTCAGGTGTGTCACATTGAAGGCTTCTCCTGACTCACATAGCTGCAGAGGCTGATGAATCTAAGATCAGATGGCAGGCTGCTGGCTCACAGGCTGCAGAGGCTGAAGAATCCCAAGAACCAAAGGTCAGATGGTGACAAGCCAGATACAAGACCCAGAGCAAGCAAACTAGCTTTACCAGAAAATCTATTTATGTATTGGATGTAGGCCACACTCCTGAGGAAATTCCCCTTACAACAGATTGACTGATCACATCAGATCACAACATGGGGGGTGATTACATCAAATATATAACTACCAAATTACATCATACATAACTGCCAAACTGTATCATTACATAACTGCCAAACCACTGAGAATCATGGCCCAGCCAAGTTGACACACAACGTTAACCATAACTCATCCAGAAGAATGGCCTGGTAATCAATTTCCATAAAGATTACAGCCAGGAAAACCCTATAGAGCAGTTCTACTCTGTAACACATGAGATCATCATGAGTTGGAATAGATTGGACAGCAACAGGTTTGGTTCTTTTGTGTTCTCCCTTGATCCATTTATCATCAAGAGACCACCAAAGAAAAGGTGACTGTTGGGACAAATTTGAAGCCACATAATCAAGCTGCCCCTTCTCTCAAGCAATTCTCCTTCCAAAGCCAACCTTGGAGGGTCTGGGTTGTTTTGTTTTAAATTGGAGAAAGCTCTGATTCTTCCCTTGCTTCAAGTCCTCCAACTGGCTAGGAAATTCTGGCCAAATGTCAGGAACTGCA